CGGGGCGGGCGGCTGGGGGGGCCCGAGCCCGGGCCAGGCCCTTTATAGCCCCGGCCCCCGTGTCGTCAGCGGCGGCGATTGGCTGCGGAGCCAACAAAAGAGGCAGCGCTGTCATCCGAGGCGAGAGAGGGAGCCGGAGAGAACGGAGGAAAAGAGAGAGAGAGAGAGGGAGGGAGCGAGGGAGCAAGGGCCGGAGAGAGATGAAAAGGCAGAGATATGAGGGGGAGGGGAGAGACAGAGAGGGAAAGTCAGAGAGACTAGCGAGAGACCGAGAGATAAAGAGGGAAGAGACAGATCCAGAGAGAGATAGGAAGAGGTGGAGGAGAGAGAGGGAGAGACAAAGGAGTACAAGAAGAGTCAGGGGGGGGAAGACACAGAGGGCAGAGACTTTCTAGAGAGACAGAAATGGTGCGGGAGACACAGAGCCAGAGGAGGAAAAAGACCGGGACAACTGTGGGAGAGTTAGAGTAGAGCGAGCCAGAGATAAAGACAGGGTAGAGCCCAGAGGGAGGAGAGAGAGGTACTGCTAGACGGGGAGGGTGGAGGTCCACAGAGCCAGACCAAAAGAGATTGGGGGTTCTAGAGAGGAAACAGGGGCAGAGGAACTGATGAGACAGACCAGTACCCTGGGAAGAGAGAGAGGGAGAGAAAGCATGATGGGGAGGAGAAAGAGGGGACAGAGACTGGAAGATACCAAGGGAGCCCCTGGGGAGGCAGATGCAGGGGATCAGGGGGAAGGTAGAAACTCCAGAGGGAAGGAGGGACAGCCACAAGAGTCAGCCTTGGGAGCACAGAGAGCCCAAGGGGGAGGAGAAGAAGAACTTGAGCCCAGAGGAGTCCCAGCTACCAGAGGTAGCCCAAAGATGTTTAAAGAAGCCATGGAGGGAAGCATCGGGCTAGGCTATCAGAGGGATTAAGGAGAATAGGAGAGGAAGAGGACAGGCACAGTCCGAGAAGGTGGGGAGGTGATGGGAAGAACTAAGACAGGAGGAAGACTTAGAGCTGGGAAGATTGTTAGCTTGAAACTGGGGCTCAACAGTGCTAAGGGAGTCAGCAGGATGGAAAAGGCAGGAGCTGGGGGCCATTGGGGGAGGAATGGGAGGAGGCAGGGCTGGAGGCCACTATGCTTGCAGAGGAATCTGGACCCCTGGGAAAGCAAGTTGCAAGTTGAGCTGGGGACAGCAAGTTGCAAGGGGAGAAACTCCGATATGGGACCAGCCTTGGTCTTCAAGTGTGACCCTGGGCACACAGGACAGAGTGAAAGGGTGCCAAGATGATAAAATGCTTTCAATGTGCTTAACTTCTGATTTTGGCTACTTCTTCCCACACAGTTTCTCCAGGCTTATTTCTTGATCCCAAAGCCCTGGATCAATAGACAAATTGAAAATGTTTGAAGGGATCAAGTCTTGTTCATTTTCTGGTATACCCAATGTTTGTTGAATAAATGGATGAACTTCATTATTGGGCTTCTCGGACAGAATAGAAGGAGAGGCATTGGTTTCCTCTCTGGAATTAGAGTCCGATAAAACATCTTAAAGTTGGCTTGGCATAGGCATAAAGAGTACCAGGCATAAGGACAGAGTGGGGTTGGGGAGCTGGAGTAGAATGAGGGAAGAAACTGGGGGTGCAGCTTTGAAGGGAGAAGGTGGGGGTTAGGAGGACCAAGCTGGGGAGCTTCGAAGAGACAATCCATTTCCGTGAGAACAAAACAAAAACTTAGTCAGCTGGTTCCCTCCCTTGCTTTGGACCAAGACATGGGCATCTCGGCATTTCATCAAGTTTCTTTTTTTTTTTTTTCTGAGACAGAGTCTCACCGTGTTGCCCAGGGTAGAGTGCCATGGCATCAGCCTAGCTCACAGCAACCTCAAACTCCTGGGCTTAAGCAATCCTTCTGCCTCAGCCTCCTGAGTAGCTGGGACTACAGGCATGCACCACCATGCCCAGCTAATTATTTTTTTCTATATGTTTTTTAGTTGTCGGGCTAATTTCTATCTATTTTTAGTAGAGACGGGGTCTCGCTCTTGCTCAGGCTGGTCTCAAACTCCTGACCTCGAGTGATCCTCCTGCCTTGGCCTCCCAGAGTGTTAGGATTACATACGCGAGCCACTGTGCCTGGCGGAGTTTCTTCATCTAAAATACGGGGATCACAATTCTTACCCTCAACTCACTTGTTGTGAGGATTACATAGTAATCAATCAGTAGTGGCCTTCGTGGGCTTCTCTTTCTTCATGATTCTTTTCCTTTCCTTTCTGATCTTCCAGTGCAGTGATTGCCTTTACCACATATTCTGGCATATCCTATTCTCCAAAATGTTTCTCTGGTGTCATTTCCTCCGCAAAATTGCAAACTGTGAGAGTTGGTGTCACCTAATTCTGCTCCCTTAGAGAAGGCGTCTAGCTTTCACTTCCTCACCAAACACGTATCTAGTGGCAGGTGCAAAGATAAATGAGATGCAAAACAAAATAAGACTCAATTCCTTTCCTCAGGGAACATACAGACAAGATATTAGGTGAACAGTACCGGCCAAAACTCTAGGCCACATGCCTCCTGATATCTTCTTCTGGATGTTCCAAGGTACCTCAAACATCATAGGTTAAATAGAGAACTCCTTCTCTCCCCCTAAAATATGCCCTATCCCCCAGTTTTTCATTGTAGTGAATAACACTCAATCATCCAGGCTAGAAACCTGGATGTAGTGTTCCACTCTCATTCTCTTGATCATTTCTGAATCTTTGTGTAGTTTGTTTCTTCTTCCTAGAACAAATCCCCCTCCTACCTTCATTCCCTCACAGCCCCTCAATCTCTTGGCCAAACTTACTCTTTCCTCAGGTCTCAGTATAGATGAGATTATAGACATGCCATCCAGGAGTCCTTTCCTGACTCCCAAGTCTAGGGTAGATACACCTCCTGTATATATCTGCACCATTCTGTGAGCTATGGAGGTTAATCACATAGCTTCTAGACTAGAACTAGGCTGACTGGGTTCAAGTTCCACCTGTTTCTCTTTTCTGGTTATGTGAACTTGGATAAGCTATTAAACTTCTTTATACCTCAGATTCCTCATCTGTAATATGGGGATAACAATACTGCACCTAATTTATAAGGTTATGAGGACTAAATGCCTGACATACTGTCCTAAATGCATTTTTACTATTATCCCAAATTATAACTCTCACCCAGTGAGACACAAGAGAACAAGAACTTTTTCATCAAAGTATTCTGCTGTGGCTTTGAATAAAGAATGAATGAGCCTTGTCAAGTGAACTTGGTCAGAGCTGGGGAGTGGGCAGAGAAAACTGTGTATTTGTGTCCATGAGGGGTTACTGGTGCCTGCCAAATACCAGGGAGTTAGAGGCAGGAACAATTTGTGAACCAGAAAAGATTTTCACCTCCTGGTTTCCTCCCCAGCTTCCAGGACGGTACTTAAGTGGACAAGACTGCCATCTTGTGGTAAAATGTGGAATGTCAGCTCCTTGGAAGTGGAACTAAAACCACTGTTTTGGTGGCGGTGTTTTTTTGGGGGGGTGGGGCATGCTTTCCATATTTTCACTTTAGACGTCTGGTCCGAGAAGTTCTATATCATAATACATTAAGCCTTGTCCTTTCTCCAACCCCTCATAGATCTTGCCTCTTTCTTTCCTTGAGGAAGTTCCCTCAGGCTTGGCCCTGTTGGGTTCCCCCGAGTTGCGGAAACTAACCACTAGGAGGTTTCTTTTAGGAGCTTTAGAATTTCAGTTGCCCCAGACCCAGTCCTGAGGAAGGGGTGTTGGTGGCTTTACAGAGAAGGAGTTGGAAGAGATCTGGACATTTACATCTTTCCTTATCCCAGTACATGCTAACCAAGGTTTGCGGCCCCGCCCACTGTCCTGGTCTCCCTGGCAACTGTCTTTCTGCCAAGGGTGCCCCTCTCCCGGAGTTACCCAGGCAACCTTCAGGCCCGCCTCCTTCAAGGTCCTGACTGGTTCATAGCAAATGTGGGTCACGGCCTAAGGGAGGCATTTAGGTTTGAAGGGTGTGAGCTGCCGGCAGAGAAGGAGGCAGTGTCCTGGGGGAGGGTGTGAAGTTTCAGGACCTGCTGGATGGAGAGAGGTGTCTGCACAGCCTTGGGTAGAGGGTCTGTGACATACTCAGGAAGAGCGGCAGCTCCTTGGACCCTGAGATGCTTGGGCCACTCTCAGAGGTGCTGCCAGAACAGAGGAACCACTCACTGTAGAGGAGGAGGGACTCCTGCTGTCCTGGACCTGCAGCATGCAGGCGCCGCCACACCCACACTGCCTGGTCCATCAGAGTTGGGCTTAGTGGGGAGTAGCTATCTTTCGTCTCTCTCCAGGGAGGGTCCCAAATCTTATCTCCTCTTCCTTTTTTCTCCTAAAATTCCTTTTGGAGGTCAGGCAGTGGACTCAGTCCTTGGCACTGCGGGGCATTCTGAGGAGAGGAGGGCTGGTGGTTGAGATGTAGCAGAGGGGAGAGAGGCTTACTTGCCCCTCTCCTGCCCTCCTAGCATGTGCCTTTGGGGCTGTGGGGAGACTATTCTGGGCTGGGGGTGGTAATGGACCCCTCCCAAGCCTCTGCCCACAAACCCTGCAGCCTCCAGAGAGGACCTCACTATGTAATTATCGTCTTCTCCGCTACCATACTAGACCCTATAATTATCTTGCCTACATCCCTTGGCAGCCCTGTTAACCTCTTTAGCCCCAAGGCTCTCTAAGAGAAGTTGGGAGTTGGGAGAAGGAAGACGAAGAATTTGTATCTTGGGAAGGGCAGTGTTGGTCGTAGAGGCAGGAAACAACTGGGGGACTCTAAGAATCATCTGGGGTCATATCTTCCTTTGTCTCTGGCCTCCCAGAAGAACCCTCTCCCCCACCCCCTCAGGTCAGGTCATCCCTCCAGCTCCACTGGGTGCAAGCCCTGTCCTATCTTCATTCTTGGCCTCCTCAGGCCTCCCCACCTCTTCCCTACCCATTGCTCCCTCTCCAGGCCCAGGTGGGTCCTTCCTGCAGGCCCTGCTCTGGACAGTGGCCACGGCTGGCTGTATTACTAATCTGTGCCAGCAGGAGGCGCCACTGTTCCAGCTGCCGCTCAAGGAAAAGGAGACGTCTGAATGCAATATCCACTTCTCCAGGGACATCGAAAGGCTCGCAGATGAGTGGACCCAGTAGGTAACAAAGCTTGACCTGGGATGCCAGGTGAGGGGAGTTGGTGGGAAGCGAGGGGAACTGGCGGATGGAGGGTTTAGAGGGAATCCAGTCTCCAGGGAGAAGCAAGGAGACAGACAGAAAGAGAGTGAGAGAGCGCGCGAGCGCGGCGCAGTGAAGGTAAAGGTTGTTGCCAGATGCGGGGTGTGTGTGTGTGTGTGTGTGTGTGTGTGTGTGTAGCAGTGGTGAGAGTGTGAGCATGACCAGAGGTCTGGCTGGCTCTGGGAATGGGAACCTGAAATTGGAGACGTGAGGAGGGGACAAAGGAGATGTGAGGATCGCTGGGACTACAGGCATTCACGACCACACCTGGCTAATTTTCTCTATTTTTAATAGAGAGGGGGTCTCGCTCTTGCTTAGCCTGGTCTCGGAACTCCTGAGCTCAAGCAATCTTCCCGCCTTGGCCTCCCAGAATGCTAGGATTATAGGTGTAAGCCCCAGGCCCCTCACTCCTCACCTGGCAGGTGCTCCTAACACTGCTCTCCAGGCTGCCCCATCAATGGCCTTCTCCTGCTTCTCCTTCAAGTTGCCCTCTCTACACTACTGGACGCTTCTGGCCAATGTTCCCTCCTCCTGTTTTTTTTTTTTTTGAGACAGAGTCTCACTCTGTTGCCCAGGCTAGAGTGCCGTGGGGTCAGTCTAGCTCACAACAACCTCAAACTCCTGGGCTCAAGCGATCCTCCTGCCGCAGCCTCCCAGGTAGCTGGGACTACAGGCACGCGCCACCGTGCTAATTTTTTCTATTTTTAGTTGTTTGGCCAATTTCTTTCTATTTTTAGTAGAGACGAGGTCTTGCTCTTGCTCAGGCTGGTCTTGAACTCCTGAGCTCAAATGATCCTTTGGAACCCTCAGAGATTTGGGTTCAAATCCTGACTGCCTTTCACTGGGTTTGACTCTGGGCATGTTACTCTGTTCCTCTCTCCGGAGTTTCACATCCCCAGTTTCCAGTAGGACGTCTCCACCTGGATGCCCCTTGTGTGCTTCATGCTCTGGGTGGCCACCTCCTCCTTCCCTGCGTGCCCAGATGATGGCCCTCATCATCTTTCTCTTGGACCATGGCAGTGATGTCTCAGCCATCTTCCAGGCCACCTGGCATTCATTCCTTCTCATTTCAATTCAGGCCCGATCCCAAGATAGTGTCACCTTCTCAAAAACTTTCCACCATTCCCCATTGCCTTTAGAACACACCCAACGTAGCCTTCTAGGTCCTCGATGGTCCTGTTACCTAGACCACCTTCTTTTTGCGTCATCGATTGTTTTGCAAAGTATTCCAAAGGAAATTACAAACATGCCATTTCACCGTTCCATATTTTAGTATGCATGTTTAAAATATAGCGAAATTTCCCTACATAATCATATCATTATCACAGCTAACGAAATAATTTTCTCATATCTAATTATCAGTCCATATTCACATTTCCCTTGTTGTTCCCAAAATGTCTAGTTTGTTCAGATAAAGATTCAATCAAGCACCAAGCATTGCACTTGATTGTTATGCACCTAAAGTCTCTCAATCTTCTTCTTCTTTTTTTTTTGAGACAGGGTTTCACTCTTTTGCTCAGCCTGGAGTGTAGTGGCCTGATCACAGCTCACTGTAATCTTGAACTCCTGGGCTCAAGCCATCCTCCTGCCTCAACCTCCCAAAGCACTGGGATGGGAGCCCATTTCTCTCCATCTTGATCTTCAGACCAACTTCCACCCCTCTTCACTACATTCTTCCTCAGCCTTTTGAGTCAGCCAACCCCAATCTGTGATGTACTTCTAAAAATGCTCCTTTCAGTAATCCCAGCAGTTTGGGAGGCTCAGGTAGGAGGATCACTTGAGGTCAGGAGTTGGAGACCAGCCTGGGCAACATAGCCAGACCCCATCTCTTAAAAAGTTAGCTGGGTGTGGTGGCATGCACCTGTAGTCCCAGTTACTCAAGAGGCTGAGGCAGGATTACTTGAGCCCAAGAGTTCAAAGTTGCAGTGAGCTGTGATCATGCCACTGCACTGCACTCCAGCCTGGGCAACAGAGTGAGACTGTTTCTAAAAAAAAAAGCTCCTTTTTACAGTGGCTGAAACTGAGAGCTTGCCCCTTTATTCCTTTATTCTCCAAGGTCACCTTGGAGAACACCACCCACCTCTGTGAAACCCATTTTCCTTCCACTGTCCTTCCCTCTGAACTTATCCAGCTGCTACCAGAGGCTCTGCCTTTCTTCACAGTGTGGACAGAACTTCCTTCTGCCTGCTGGCAGAGGCCACTGTCTTCCGCTCCTCGCTGCCCATGTGCATGGCACATGCCTGGCATCTAGTGGCAGCAGTGAATACTCCTTTCTTCAGCATCTTTGCTCCTCCTCCACAGCCCGCTGCCATGATAAGGGGGAGCAAGGTCCAGAATGGGCTTGGTGTGTCCCACTGGAAACTGGTTTTCAGCCCTGTCCATATCTACTTCCTTTTGCTTTTAGGATTTCTTTCCTTCTTTGTGTGCACACACACACATCAAGACTCAGGAAGTGGTTCTTGAGGCAAGACCATGAGAACATAAGTAGTGGGGCCCTGGCTGGGGTATGAGGGGGTGACGACTGGTCCTAACCTTTGTCCTGTTCATACCAGCTCCTGCCAGGACCGCCAGCGGCACACAAGGGAGGGAGGCAGCCTCAGGGCCCCCCCTTGCAGCCCTCACCTGCTTTTCCTTCTGGGATGAGAAGAGCTGGTGGCTGCTAGGATGAGTTGGGGAAACCCAGGGGATGTAAGCCTGCCTTCGTGTCTTCCCCATGTCTCCACCATAACGAGCTGATCCAGGAGCGATGGGAGCACAGACCTTGTCAATCCTCCCCCAAAGGGAGGGACCCACTCTGACATGCCATGGTTGACTAGGTGGTATAGCCCCGGGTGCGAGTACGGACTTCCTCCCCTTTTCTCAGACCAGGCGCCCTGGAAAATGGAGAAGCCGTGTTAACAGAAGCGGGCAAGGAAGCCCCACTCTAGAATGTTGGGAGGCTCCCAGGATGCGAGGCCAGGGACTTTCTGGAAGTGTTAATTCTGGCCCCACCCGATCCCAGGCTGTCCACAGCTCGTCGGGCATGGGGGCTTGAGCAGAGTTGGAACCAGAGGTGGGAGGGGGGCTCCAGAAGCCTCTCTCAGACCAGCTTTCACCTGGCTTCAGCTCTGCCGCCCGCCGCTTAGAGGGTGACTCTGGGCCGCCCGTCTCTCCTTCGGCTCTCATCCGCCCCTCCGCTCCTCCGAATCAGTGAGAACCGGGCGGCGCTCGTCCCGCTCTCCTACCCGGAGTTGGCATGGAGGTGGGGGCGCCGGAAAGGCCCCAGGCGCCTCGAGGTCTTGCCCTGGGTGCCTCCCCTTGCGGGGGTGGGCGCTGTCTTCCGGGTAGAGGCCACGTGGCTCTGTCCGGGCGGGGGGCTCGGCCCTCCCGTCGCTGGCCCCAGTGACTCAGGCCGCAGCTGTTCCCGCGTCACATGAGGGAGGCGGCGGGGGAGGGGGCTGTGGCTGGAGCCCGGGGCGGGGCCGCTCTGGAGGCGGGGCGGGAGAGGGGGCGCAGCTAGAGAGCCCCTGAGCCGCGGCGGGAGAGGAGCGCACAGCCGTGGGGAGCGCGGGTGAGAGCGCGGGGCCCGGCGGCTTCGGCGCGGGGGGCGGGGGGAGCGGACCACTGGCAGTCCCCTCCTCCGGGGGCTCGCCCCGGGCCGCGGAAGGCCCGCCCCGTGCTCTCCAGCGGCTCTCGAGGCCCTAGAGCAACTTCGCTTCAAAGTTCCAGAAGCCCGGGCAGGGTGTGGTGCGGGTGCCGGCCGCACTTTTCGGGGGTGCGGGGGAGGTCAGAGCCCAGGAGAAAGCGGGTGGGGGATCGGGCTGGGCTAAGGACCGTTTTCCAGGGCTGGTTGGGCGGGAGGGGCTGTTTGACGGTGGGGGCTGGTGGGCCGAGGGTCGGTGTCAGGCCCGAGCCCCTGTCGGAGCCCTCGGGTATCCGGAGGCGGCGGGCCGGGGTCCGGGCCTCGGGGCCGTCGCCCCCACCCCTCTCCAGCCGGGGAGGAGAGGGGGCTGGGAGACGTGGATCTGACCGCGGGTTTCCGGGTGGGAGGGGCCGGGAGTCGGGGCCGGGCAGGGAAGGCCTCGAGGGCCGGCCGGGAGTCGGAAACCGAGGTCCCCCCTCGGCCCGTTCTAATCCCCCCGCCCTCCCCTGCCCCAGGCCCGGCAGCCATGGCGGTGGAAGGAGGAATGAAATGTGTCAAGTTCTTGCTCTACGTTCTGCTGCTGGCCTTCTGCGTGAGTGGGGAGGGAGTGCGATGGGGGCTCGCTGGCAGGGTGCGGGGAGACCTGGCTCCGGAGTGGTGAGGGCTGAGGGACCAAGAATGAAGGCAGCTGGAGACCAGATGTGGAAGGAGAGCCCCAGGAGAGACAGCACGGCCACCCCTTCCTCCCCTTCCTCCCCTTCCTCCAGCTTTCGTGGACCCCTGAGGCTTGTTTCCACCGAGAATGACCATCCTGGGTGTGCAGCGCCTCCCGTACACACCCCTCTTGGCCCTTCCTGTCTGGTGACCCAACCACTTGTGATACAGGGGCAGTGGGGCAACCAGCCAACGGTGCCTGATGCTATCGCCACGGGGCTTTCCTCCGGGCTCCCCTCTCCCCTCGCTTCCTCCTCCACCCCCTCATGCCTCCATTCCCTCTCTGCCCAGCTGCTTGGGGGCGAGGAAGGCCTCTGCCCACCTCAGTTTTCTCTTGTCCTGGGCTCCTGGCTTGGGAGGCTACTGTTTATCCAGGGAGGGGCACACCACTCTTGCCCGCTTTTCCTCCTCCCTGGCCTAGCTGGGAGGAACCTTAGGCACAGCTGAGGCACATGAGATGGGCACTAGAAGATAGTGAGGGGGCAGTGCTGGAAGAGCATTGAGCTGGGAGCCCTTGGAAAGCACTTTTCTAGGTCAGGGATTTGTGCCCTGGGGTCAGGGCTTTTCAGCAACTTTTTTTTTTTTTTGAGACAGAGTCTCAGTGTGTTGCCCTGGCTGGAGTGAGTGCCGTGGCGTCAGCCTAGCTCACAGCAACCTCAAACTCCTGGGCTCAAGCGATCCTCCTGCCTCAGCCTCCTGAGTAGCTGGGACTACAGGCATGCGCCACCGTGCCCGGCTAATTTTTTGTATATATTTTTAGTTGTCCAACTAATTTCTTTCTATTTTTAGTAGAGACGGGGTCTTGCTCTTGCTCAGACTGGTTTTGCTCAAACTCCTGAGCTCAAACAATCCACCCGCCTCGGCCTCCCAGAGTGCTAGGATTACAGGCGTGAGCCACCACGCCTGGCCCAGCAACTCTCTTTTCATATTTGGTTATCCCCCTGGTGGAGGAGCTGCTTGGAGGAAGGCTAGGCTCCTGACTCCCGACTCCCGACTCCCCCTTCCCTTCTCCCTTAGTGCCTTGAACACCTCACCAGCCTTCACCCGAGGGGTGGGGGGCAAGGATGGGTCATACCCCTACCCAACAGTCAGAAGTTTCCTGGAGGTGTGAGGATCTGTCTCCTGGTTGGGGTCAAGTCTGTGTCCTGAGTGCACTCCCTGCCTTCCCCAGTGAAGGACTGCTGGGTTGTGGGTATGGCCTAACCCTCACCTGCCCTCCTCTTAGGCCTGTGCACTGGGACTGATTGCTGTGGGTGTAGGGACCCAGCTTGTCCTCAGTCAGACCATCACCCAGGGGACTACCCCTGGCTCCCTGTTGCCTGTGGTCATCATTGCAGTGGGTGCCTTCCTCTTCCTGGTGGCATTTGTGGGCTGCTGTGGGACCTGCAAGGAGAACTACTGTCTTATGGTCACGGTGAGTGGGGCGTGGGACTGCTGGAGGCCATTTCTGTGGTTGGGGTTCATGAGGGTGGGTGAGGAAGACCTTTGTGAGTGGTCCAGGGACTGGCTGTGCTAGAGCAAGCCCTTCTCATCCCTAGACTCCAAACCTGACTCCTGTCCTTTGCTCTTGTAGTTTGCCATCTTCCTGTCTCTTATTGTGCTGGTAGAGGTGGCTGCAGCCATTGCTGGCTACGTGTTTAGAAATAAGGTAAGCAGGGAATAAGGGGAGGGCCTTCCTCAGCCTGGTGTGGGACCCAGGTGTCTGAATTCTGACCTCAACAGTGCACCTCCCTACTCTCAGGTGATGTCAGAGTTTAATAAGGACTTCCGGCAGCAGATGGAGAATTACTCAAAAAACAATAATACGGCTTCAATCCTGGACAGGATGCAGGAAGATGTGAGTGGGGTTGCTGGGAGCAGGGGCAGTGGGGGAAGAGAATTCTCATCTGCATATTGAAGGCAGAGGTTCGCTTAACAACCTTCTCCCCCATATCTCTTCCCTTCCCTAGTTTAAGTGCTGTGGCGCTGCTAACTACACAGACTGGGAGAACATCCCTTCCATGGGCAAGAGCCGAGTCCCCGATTCCTGCTGTGTCAATGTCACTGTGGGCTGTGGGATTAATCTCAAGGAGAAGATCTATACGGAGGTAGGGAGGAGACTGAGATAGTATGGGACTTGGGAAACCTGGGAAATGTTTCAGGAGGCAAGAGACCTGGGATGAAGGTGGACAGGGTCAGGGATGGGGACGGGATCTGGAAATGCCAGGGGTGGGGTGAAAGGTACAGAGGGCAGGGAAGAGACAGATGGACCAGTGGAAGTGGGCAGGAAGTTTCTGATGGTGTTCTTGCTTTGTGTGCCTGCCACTCTTTAGGGCTGTGTGGAGAAGATCGGGGGCTGGCTGAGGAAAAACGTGCTGCTGATAGCTGCAGCAGCCCTGGGCATTGCTTTTGTAGAGGTGAGAAATAGCCTGGGCAGGGGCTGGGAGTCTGTCCAGGGCATCTGGGGAGTGGGGAGGAGGGTGCTGAGCAGGAGGTACTGGCCTGGAGATGGTGTTTGTGGGGTCTCTTGCATGAATCTGGGGTAGCTTGCCCTTCAACTCCTCTCCATCCCCATCTCTCCTTCCAGGTCTTGGGAATTGTCTTTGCCTGCTGCCTCATGAAGAGTATCCGAAGTGGCTATGAGGTGATGTAGGGGGTCTGGTCTCTTCAGCCCCCTCATCTGGGGGAGTGTAGTAGTATCCTCCAGGTTTTTCAATTAAATGGATTTTTTCAGACCGAAAAGAGAGATGGTCTCAGTTTGTCTTAAAGAGTGATACCTGTTCCCTTCCCTCTCCTTATCCATGTTTCCTGTCCTCTGGGACCCTGCTCTGTGCACCTCTGGGAAAGGCAGGCCTACTTTGGGGGGAGGGGGGTGTTTGGGAATGGGATTTTGCTGAAGGTGTTGGTTGGGCTGGCAGGAGAAGTGGGGATCCAGAGGAGGCTGTGGCCCTTCCTGTCCTCTAGTCCTGTGCAGCCAGGCTCAGCACTGGAACATTCATGAAGCCATCTGCTGTGTAAGTCAGTGATTTCCCACAAAGTTCCTACCTGGGAAAGCCCAGCCCTACCTTGGACATCTTCTCTTTGGCCTTCTGGACACCTTTAAGGGTCCAACAACTAACTCCCTGGCCCATCCTTAAGGGGATCCAGCTACTTTCAGGGTGGTGCTAAGTTGCCTTGACATCTTAGTGGCCAGTGTTCCTCCTTCTTGACTTATTAGATAGTAGGAATTTAGATAAGTATTGCCTTTTCTTCCATGGAAACCACCCACCTGGCCCTGACCTCTCTTCACTTTCCCTCCTCTACCAAGAAAAATAAAGATCCCCAGTACAGACACTGAATTGCAATCTTACTCCGTGTAGAAAATAAAGGAAACGTTCGAAAGTGCCCTCTGGTGGCCATTCCTGGAGGTGCAGCTTCAAAGATCAGCCATAGATGCAAGACAGCTCCCTTGCGCCCCCGAGTGGGTGCTAGCTGTTTTGCAGGCACTAAACAGGCCAGAGACCTTGGGCTGTAAGTCAGCTTAGGGTAGTTAGTACTTAAATGGGCTCAGTCTGCCCCTGGGCACTTTCATTTCAGCCCAGTTTTTTTTCTTTCTTTAACAATACACCTTTATTGAGTGCATATTTTGTGCCAGACACCGGGCAATACCAGGGCGGGGACATAAGTAAATAAAAGTCCCTGCCCTTGAAAAACAATGTCTTGCGGGAAGGTTGGGTTCAGTAGACTGCCTGGGCAGGCTTGGGAAGGACCCAGGTGAGCACAGCATCCACCAGGCTGGCTGGTAGGTAGGAGGCGGGCAACCAGAGCAGCTTGGCATCCCAGCCTGGGCTGTAGCGGGTTCGGGGGTGACGAGCAGTCAGGGCGTGTTCCACACACGTGCTCACCTTGGTGAGGTCTGGGTCGCAGAGCAGGTTCATGATGCGCTGCTGCACTTTCAGGTCTGCAGTCCCCAGGGTGGTTGCAATCAGTTTCCCTTCCCCACTCGAGCCCACCTTAGGCCCTATCTTCTGGGTCTCCTAGGGCTTGTTGCCCAGGAGAGGTGAGAGATATCCTCAGTCCCCTCCCCACTGTGGGGTGTGGGCGGGTTCCACATGGCCAGGGCACTCTCCTGTGGCATCCCATTCACACCCACCTTCTCCCAGCAGGCTGATGTGGGATTGGCCTTTCTGGTACTCTCATTTCCCTCCAGGTACCCCTGTATATGGGTCCAGCTACTCACACTTGGTGAGGAAGGCCTCCCCATAGAGGGCCTGTGTGGCTGGAGGTAGCCGTGCCCAGCAGGCCTGCAAGGTGTTCTCCAAACTCTGCAGGTTGGTCACAGGGGTTCGGAAGAAGCCAGGCTCCACGATGCAGACTCGTACCCCAAAGTGAGCCATGTCCCGCCTGGAGTTGGGGCAGAGGGAAGTTGCTTCGTCCTTGCCCTATAGGGAGGGGACTTTCAGGGACACGGGTGGAGCAGCTAAGATGAGAAAGTTACCACAGATCAGGGACAGAAGTCCTGATAGTAAGGGAGATTCCTGCTGCTCTGGGACAAGGGGCAAGTGGGGCAGAGGGAGGGAGGTATTTTTGAGGTTTGTTTTCCTTTATATTTTCTATGATCTAGAGCAGGGGTCAGCAAAATTTAAAGGGCCAGAGGCACTGCCGGCCAAGAAACAAAATTAATGTTAGGTACTTACATAACTATTTACAGTGTAACCAGTTAAAAATGTAAAAACCATTATTAGCTTTTAGGTGGCTGCCTGGACCTGGCCTGAGAACTGCAGTTTGCCAATTCCTGATCTAGAGGAACCCCGTTCCCTAGCTCCCAAAACACAGGGTTGAGCCGAGTGCTGGATATGAAGGGTATAGACTGGTATTTGCTGGAGGGTAGCTTAATGGGGAAAGTGGAGATACATCCCATCGCCCTGGCACAGATGTAGAAATCCAAGTATAAAGTATGTGTTCGATGATGCCAAGTGGAAAATTAAAGACTGAGGAATAGGGACAAAGGCAGACATTTAAATTATTTGCTGAGTGATGGTGAAGAGGGGCAGAACACAATGCCCAGGCTCTCCAGGCAGTCAGACCTGGGGGAGAGACCCAGTGCTTCCCCTATTTTTTTTTTGAGACAGAGTCTCACTCTGTTGCCCGGGCTAGCGTGCTGTGCCATCAGCCTCACTCACACCAGCCTCAGCCTCCCGAGTAGCTGGGACTACAGGCATGCGCCACCATGCCCGGCTAATTTTTTTCTATATATATTTTTAGTTGTCTGGCTATTAATTTCTTTCTATTTTTAGTAGAGATGGGGTCTCGCTCTTGCTCAGGCTGGTCTCGAACTCCTGAGCTCAAATGATCCGCCCGCCTCGGCCTCCCAGAGTGCTAGGATTACAGGCGTGAGCCACCACGCCCGGCCTTCCCCTAATTATTAAATAGTTGTGTATTAATACCTACCCTTATAAGGTTGTTGGGAGAATTAAATGAGGAAATGTTATGTAAAGCTACTAGCTCACTGTAATAGTTATTATTAATAGTAGTTTGTTTCCCTACTGATAATTATGATAGCAGATTTTTTTTGGGCATTTAATGTGTGCCAGGCACTGTTGGGTCATTACATGTACTTCATTTCACTCACAACACAACATCCATGAGGCAGGTTTTGTCATCCTGATTTAAAAGGTGAGTTAAAAAACGGGTAAAGGGGATAGTGCGGTGGCTCATGCCTATAATCCTAGCACTCTGGGAGGCTGAGGCAGGAGGACTGCTTTACATCAGGAGTTTGAGACCAGCCTGAGCAAGAGCAAGATTCCATCTCTACCAAAAATGGACACAATTAGCTGGGTGTGGCAGCACACGCCTGTAGTCCCCGCTACTCAGGAGGCTGAGGCAGGAGGATCACTTGAACCCAGGAGTTTGAGGTTGCAGTGAGCTATGATGATGCCACTGCACTCTACCTGGGGCAAGAGAGTCAGACTCTGTCTCCAAAAACAAAACAAAACACCAAAAACCGGCAAAGAGTAGTAATCTACTTAAGGTCACAAAGCTCATGAGAGAAGGCTGGGATTTGAACCCATGGGCTAGCCCTAAACTGTCTCTTAAATATTTCACTATGCTGTGTCTTAATCATCTCTGCCAGCCCATGCCAGGCAATAATTTGTTTGTTGAGTGGGCTGCCCTTGGGCTTGAAGCGCGGAGCCCTGCACCCCTCACCTCAGGCTGTCAGAGAAGGCCTCCAGGCCAAACTTGGAGATACAGTAGCCCCCACCATTGGCTGCCAGGCGACCCAAGACACTGGTGATGTTGATCACCCGTCCCCGTGCCTGCTGCAGCAGAGGCAGCAGGGCAAGGGTGACCCCGATGGGACCCAACGTGTTCACATTCAGCACCCGATGGAAATCGTCCTGTGTCAGCCATGGTGTGGGCCCGATGATACCAGCCACACCAGCATTATTCACCAGACCAAAGAGCCCTGTGGGGAGATGAGAAAGGCACGAGGGGTGGATGAGGCACTCACCCATTCTTCCTGGGAGCATCTGAACACTGCTCCTCCCCAACTAGTCCCTCTAGCTTCCTGCGGCCCCTGCAAGAAGGGGGCACTATAGAGATCAGGAACTCCTCACACCATGTTCTTGTGGCTCCACCATACTCACCTGCTTCCCTGACGTGTGTCTCCACCCACTTGGCTGCCCGTTGGACACTCTGGGGATCAGTGACATCCAGCACGGTGGTGTGTAGGCGGGAGGAGGCCACTCGCTGTAGGTCCTCTGCCCCTGAGGGGGTCAGGCAGCTGGCCAGGACTCGGAAGCCCCTCTGGTCCAGCTGCAGTGCCAGAAGGCGCCCGAAGCCTGAGTCGCAGCCAGTGATGAAGACGAAGGCATCGCTGGCGGGCAGGCTCTGCCAGTCCCTGAGCAACCACAGCACTGCCCAGAGCAAGGCACCCAGCAGCAGAGGCAGCCACATGGCCGGAACCCGCGTGACCTGCAGGTGGCAGCCTAGGCCGGGCAGGAAAACTTGTTCCATTTACTTTGGCCCTGAAACCCTTGCCCCTAATAGCCTTCCTAGCTGGAAGTGTCTGGTCTGAGCAGATTCAGAAATTATCTGCTTGGCAGATAACTGGCTCCTCTATGCAGAGCAAAAATGTGGGCAGACCCTACATTTGAGGCTAACAACTAAAAGCCAGGTCCTGTATGCGAGCAGAGGCATCTTCTTGCTTGCCGTCACACCTTCTCTCCTACTAAAACCAGGGACACCTGAACCCTCTAAATGTAAACTGGGCCTGGTTTTTAGAACCACATACAGGGCCAAGAGCCTTGTATTTTAGTCCTGGTGCCTCCCAAGCTTGCTGTGTGACGCTGAGCATCTCACTGCATCTCTGAACGTGTTTTCTCATCTGCTATGTGGGGCTAATACCCACCAGGCCCACCTCGGAGTTGTGGAGGATCAAAGGGGATGGTGTGTGAGGGAGCAAGTTAAAAGCTTAAAGCTTTGTCTGTCAATGCGTGTAATATCTAGCTAGTCTTCCCGTAGCACCTTCAGCTCCCGGTATCCCACTTACCTCCTCTGGGGAAAGTTGGCAGGTACTATAATGCCTGTAGCTTCTTCTTTTGCTTTTGCCTGAGAGATTGTGCTCCCAGTCTTCCCCGGCTCCCACACTAGCTACAGGAAAGGCCAAAGTCCAGACTGGGTGGACGTGGGTGCCAGGAATATTAAGTATATGTGTGATGGGGTGGGCGGAGGGCAGAGGAGGAGGAGCCAGGGAGGCTGGAGCCTGCCTGGGTGAAGCCCAGGCTTGGCAGAGGCCAGACCTGCCCGGCCCCCTCCTTGGCTGTCTTTCTCAGCCTGGGTTCTTGACCACCTATGTCATGGTCTCCCAGGAGGACAGTGCTGTCAAGGATGGCAGCTGCCCCTCTGTGTTGGTAGCCTTTCACCTGTCATTCCTCTCCCTTCTCAGCCCTGAAGTGCCCCCAAGAATTAATCTCCCACCTGGCTCAGACTCATGACACTGCTTAGTGTTAGCCTGGGAGAGGCCATGAGCACGTGGAGAGGCAGAGAGCCAGGCCTGCTCCCTGACTTATTTCTCCTCTGCAGGAAACTGAAGTCCCGAATTAGGAAGCTTGGGGCAGGGGCTACAGGGACCTTCTCTGGGAAGGTATGGGAAACTCCCACTCTCTGCTTACCCAACAGGCACCTACACCAGGCCAAGAAGAGAGTTGGGATAGTAAGAGGAAGCAAGTTCCACTCTCTACCCAAAAGGTACCTGTCCTTCAGGGAAACCACCTTTGAACCGTCTACTCCCACTCCCCACACTGGAGCTAGTAGCTCCTTGAAACACACCACATAGAAACGAAGGCTCCTGTTTTATTCATGGCCTGTCAGTCTCCCTCCTGCCCCTGTGGGTGAGGTAGGAGGGATGGGGTCGGGGGGACAGGGACTAGGAGGAGGCAGACTGCAGCTGCCCTTTGTAGACATATTCCAGTGCGGTGGCAATGGTGCGCATATCCAGCTCGATGCTCCGAGCCCAGTTCTCCACATCTCCGATCTCCTGGGAAGGGGGAGAGGAGGTAGGAGCCTAGGAATCAGGGTGGGTGGAGTGTGGCTTCCAGGCTGAGGGGTACTTTTCATCTATCTCCTGGAAAGGGCTTTATCTGGACCCACCAACTGCTTTTCTTTCTCTAGCTTCTCTGACCCTGGGGCCATACATGGGGTTTCTAGGACCATCCCCCAGTTCCTCTGTCCCAGAATTGACCCAACTGGAGGCTGCCAATGGGGGCCCAGGAAGGGGGCAGTGATGTAGGGAGCGTGGCCCACCTTGAGTGCCTGATTGAAGTTCTCCACCATCCCGATCCACTGGCCTGTCTGCTTGGCAAATTGGGCAGCCTGGACTTGTAGGGTCTTCACCTCATGGTCCAGCTTTCTCTGGTTCATGTAGGCCTGGGCCACACTGGAGGTTGGAGGAGGAAGGAGATCAGCTCACCCAACTAGTGGGGGTGGTCTCCAGGACTAACATTCCATTGCAGTAGTGGGAAGAGAGCCAGGAGCCAGGGCTGGGGAGAACTGCATGATTTTGGCCATTTTTGGATGTGATGCAAATGACTATCAGCACATGCAAATGAACCCAGCTCCTTCCTCTCACTCTGGTGATTCCCAGGAGAGCCATGCTGGGAGCTGACCAGAAACATACCATTTCCAACCCCAAAAGGAGTTCCTGCAGCTGGGTGGGGGAAGGGAGGGTTAACCTGGGGGGATAGCCCTGAGGAAGAAGATGGGTGGGAAAAGGGGGCATGGCAAAATCGGGAAAATCCAGCAGCAGGGACACATCTGGCAGTGATTGGAAGGCCAGGGATCTGTCCAAGCAATTGGGAAGGGAAATTGGGCCCCTCCCTGAGTCTGGGGTGGGATGGGAGGGCAAACCCCCTCCCTAGAAACCCTGGGTCAAGAGGGGATATCCCAGGGGTTTCTCTTTGGCTCTCAGTCTCTCTCCCAACCCTTCTCCTTCGCCCACACAGATGAACGAACACACACGCACAGACCCTCTCCCTTCTGCCCTAGGCAATAGCTTTTCTTTTCTCCTCAATCAAGGAGCTGGCTGTAGTTACCATTGCTATATTGGGGTTGGTGTACCCAACCCTCTGCTGATGTTTCTTGCCTCTCCACCCCCCACACCTTGCAATAATTGTTCTCCCTTATTGGCTCCTGATGAATATTTCACTTTCCACCCCAAAGCTCTAGTCAGCTGGGAGATCCCACATCCGGTGCCCCCCACCCACTGGAATGTGTGGGGGCTGGAGGGGGAAAGGGGTTGGGGGGTTGAGAGAGTGGGCAGGACACCTGACAGGGGCTAAGATAGACTGAGCCTTTGTTTTCTTTTCCGGGGAATGAGAGGAGCTGTGGGCAGCAACACAAAACCCTTTCTAATCTGGCTTTGGTTTAGCTGCCCTCTAAGCTGAAAGGGGGTGGCCTCTAGCAAAGCAAGAGAAGAGGGAGAAGCCTGGGCCAATCTCACAAACGACAGGCACAGCAGAGCCCAGGAGGCACCCATGTGGGAGAGAGGAAAGGGGACATACCCTGTCCCTTCTCAACAGTGGGGCCACCGTAGAGGGTGGGGTAGGAGCTGAAACAGATTCCCCTGGGAGTTCCTGAAATCTGTTTTCCCTATTGACCTCCTGATTCTGTCTATACACTGAGTGAAGAGAGCCACCTGGAAGGAAGGCCCCAACCACAGCTTTCTTTTCCCCTAATCTCCCCCACCCTCACCCCAGATGAGTAATAAAGATGACCCCAGCCCCTGCATGGCTCACTTGGATGACTCAGTCTCTGGGTTCACAACCAAGCTGTTCTACTTGCCCTGGGGTGGAAGGTATTATACTGCCTCCTTTCTTCCAACCGACTGGATGGACTATCGAATCATCATCTCTGTGCTCTTCTGGGTCACTCGGGGTTAAGAGAAAACGTTCTTTGCTCCTTCCCAAGTCTTTGGCTGTTACTGGCATTCTCATTTAGGGATGGGGTAGGGGGTGGTCCCTGGAGACCCAAAAGAAAGCGAAGAGACATCCTGGCTCTGCCACAGTTCCTGGCATAGGTTCTACCCTCACCCCCACCAGCTGTGCCATCTCTTTCCTGCCAGCTGCTTCCCAGACTTGCCAGAGGGTGGGAAGTGGGGGAAAGAGTGGTAAGCTGTGATGAAGGAGGGTGGTTTCTCTCCCGCTGAAGTGACAGCTGGACTTGGAAGGGCAAAGGGAGCTGGGCAGATGGCATCAAGTTGTAAGCACCAGGGAAATTAATGTGGGGAGAGGGAAATCTGGCTTTCTTCAACCACTGCAGCTGCTTCTCCCTTGCCCAATAGTAGGGGTCAGAGCTGACTCAAGCCTCTCTCCATAAAGGTGGGAGGGGCAGGGGTAGAATAGGGGAAGGAGTGGAACATCCCACCTCTTCAAGAGCAGTCTGAGGGCCAGACCTTGCCAGTGCCTAAACTTGGGTGGGTTGAGGGAAGAGGTTCATACCCCACATTGAGGTGATCCACCAAAGCTTCTGTCAGGCAGGTTGCTGCAGCGATAGCCTCTCGCCTCCTCTTCTCTGGGGGGAGGGGGAAAAGGGATTGGAGTGGAGATTTGTTTTTTTTTTTTTTAAGACAGGGTCTTGTTCTGTTGCTCCAGCTAGAATGCAGTGGTGTCATCATAGTTGACTGGAATCTCAATCTCCTGGGCTCAAGCCATTCTCCTGCCTCAGCCTCCTGAGCAGCTGTGACTACAGGTACATGCCACCACCCCTGGCTAAGTTTCTGTATTTTTTGTAGAGACAGGGTCTTGCTATGTTGCTCAGGCTGGTCTGGAACTCGTGGCTTCAAGTGATCCTCCCGCCTTGGCCTCCCAAAATACTAGAATTACAGGCATGAGCCACTGCAATCTGCTGAGATTTTTTTTTCCCCACCCATTTCTACTATTCTGCCAGAATCATCTCAACTAACCTCACAATGGCAGAGCTGAAAAGGACCTTGAAAAACATAAAGCAACCCCTTTCATTTTAGAAATGAGGAAACTGATACCCTGAGAGGGGAAGCGACTCACTCAGGGACGCCTAGGAGTCAGTGGCAGTACCCAGGACTCCTGACTCCCAGGCACTCTTTGTCCACTACCTCAGCCGAAGGATCTGTAACTGCGGGATTCCCAGCCCTATGCAGGAATAAGAACCTCACCTGAATTCTGGTGTTTTCAGGCCTCCAAGAATCCCCTCTCTGGGCGGTCCCCAGCACCCTCCTTCCTCAGAGGCGGCCCTTCCTACTTCCAGGATGAGAGGCTCCCTGGACCAATAGGCATGGCGCTCCGTGAGCGGGAGGCGGGGCTGGAAAGCCGCCGAGTTGGGGATTGGGGCGTTGCCGAAGGGGACGGGAGTGTTGCCAAAGGCACCAGCGCCCGTCGACAACGGAACTGAATTTACAAAAAAGCTGCTCCCTAATTCCCTCTCCCCCATTCCCGTTACCCGCTAGCCGACGCCCTTCCCTGGATCTGGGCAGTTACTCGAGGTCCAGGCTCCGGGCTGAAGCTAGGCCGCAGCAGGAGAGAAAACAGCAGATGGGATACTCGGCTCACCCTGCAGCTCCTTGCGTTCATTCTGCTTGGCCTGGTGTTCTTTTAGCAGGCGGGACAGCATGGTCGCGACGGGTTGGGGATTGGGGCTGGGCACGCCAGGCCCCCTCTGGCTCCGGAAGCTGGAACGCGCACCTTGGCTCCCGCGGGGCCTGGGTCACGTGACCACCGCATCACGTGAGGCTGGGACCCGCCCTCTTTTTGAGAATTAGGGTGGTAGGTAGCAAAGATCTTGGTGGGCAAGGGAGGTAGAGGGTTGGGGGAGGGGCAGGTGAGCTCTTTACTGGGAGCTCACTTTTTAGTGAGTGTTCGAAGAAGCCTTTTTTTAATACCCATATTGTAGAGCCAGTTTTTAACATCTCCTTTGGATCTCAGGCTCCCGGGAGAGTTGACGTTGCCAGGCCGTCCACACCATTTGGTTGTTGGGAGAGCAGTGGCTCCCTGGACTCATTGAAATTCTTTTCCTTCCCTCGTCTTACCTCCTGGCAGTGCTGGCCGGTTCTCAGTTGATTCCCAGCTCATTCCCTCTAGGAGAGAATACTTTTGTTTTCCAACCCACTTTCTTCTCATCACCCCAGCGAGATCCCTAAGCTCTGGGTGATCATTGTAGGGAAGCATTTTAGGCGTTTCAAGCGGCCTCCTAGGGAGCTTGGCTAATTTGGACGGCTCTGTGTGGTGAATGTACAATTCCACCTCTGTCCTTTTGTGGTCAGGGAATGCAAACCCATTTCAGTCTTAGCAGAAGCGTAAGTTCGGCTGCCAAAGTAGAGTGTAAATTATGTAACGCCTCTGAACTGAAGAGAAATGTTTCCAGGATTAACTCCAACGCGAAAAATTATAAACATCCTCAACATATTCTTGCTACTGCTACAGTCTCTCTTGGTGCACTTAACACTAACATGCTGGGTGACTTTGGGCAAGTTGCTCACCTACTCTGGTTTCTAATTTTCTGTTCAGTAAAATAAGGGGATTTTATTATATCAGTGGTAGGCACACCTGGGTAAACATTAGAATCACATGGGGGAGCTTTTAAAAATGCCTTGGACCCAGACTAAGACTCTCTGAGGGGCGGAGCCCAAACATCAGTATTTTTAAAAAGCTGTTCAGGTGATTCTAATGTGTATCCAGGGTTGAGAATCACTGGACTGAACCACATCTAAAACTATAACATTTCCAACGTTGGCATTTTTACATTTGTGGTTCAGCGGCATAGTTGAAATTAACTTCATTATATCTACCTTGTAGGGGGAGGATGGAGGCTGATTGAGTTAAAATAAAACATTCTTCTTGAATTTTCTGAATAAGAGTTGAGAATTACTGATCAATTGATTCATTCAGCTATTTGCAGAATAACATCCTAAATCCTGGGAGATGTACCACTGTAAAAGGATTAGTGAGAAGAAGCACATGAAATGGTTAAGTGGCAGCATAAAGCAAAACATGAAGTGCCAAAAGGAAAATTCTTTTTTTTTTTGTTAATCCCCTGAGTTTACTAGGACCAAAATAAAAATTTTAACAAAAATGTTGGATTCTGGCTTGGCACAGTGTTTCATGCCTGTAATCCCAGTGCTTTGGTAGGCCAGGAATTCTATACTAGCCTGGGCAACATAGCAAGACCCTGTCTCTAAAAAAAAAAAAAAATGGTGGCATGTGCCTTCTCAGGAGGCTGACAGGGGAGGATAGCTTGAGCCCAGGAGTTTGAGGCTGCAGTGAGGTATGATGATGCCTCTGCACTCCAGCCTGGATGACAGGGCAAGGCCCTGTCTCAGAAAAATAAAAATGTTGTATACTGTGTATGTATGTTTCTGTGCTTATAAGTTTACTACAGCTTTTTTAAAAAAACATTTCCTGAGTACTTAACCGTAAGTTAAACATGTATTAATTCATTTAATCCCTAGAGCAACCCTGTGAAGTATTATTGTCGTCCCCAATTTGCAGATGAAGAATCTGAGGTACAGGGCAGTGAAGTAATAGAGCTCGTAAGTGGTAGAGCTAGGATACAAATCCAGGCTATCTGACTCCAGAGCCTGAATGTTACCACTGTATACTGCATAAACCATGGGAGAGACCCCAGGAGGGGAGGCCCAGGAGTACTTTTCTGGAGGGCTCCTTGTCTCTTGTCACTATACCCCTCTGGCTTATTGGGCATGAGCTGTAGGAAATCCTGGCAGGGGAAGAGTGTTTGGGAAGAGGCTCTGCTCCAGAGAAAGGCTGATCAATAGATGCGGGAAGGGTGAGAGCATCACAGGGCAGGCTGGCTCAGTCCTCTCCTCTCTCTGGCTCCAGCTTCCAACTGCAGTGAGCAAGCAAAATAGAGCAGATTGGAAGATGCCTGGTGCTTCACCCCCAGAGCTGTGGGGGCAGGGAGAAAAGGGCATGGGTTGGAAGGGGTGCCGGAGAATGGTGACATGGGGCAAGTGAAACAGAGAGTGAGGCTAATTGGGGGGTGGCATTGAGGGTTTCAGGGGTGAGTCTGTGAATGTTAACATTAGGCCTGCTCAGGGACAGTGTCAGGCCCACGTGTTACCCTCACCCTCCTTGGCACAACCACCTGACATTTTCATAATCAGTGTAGAGACTGCCAGGATTCTGCAGACATCAGCCCCACCCTCCTCTCCCACACACGGGCTGTTCCTTTGCCCTAGAGCTGGGCAGAGGACATGGGGTATCTATCTGGGCACCCCAGCTGATTCCTCCAGGGTTACCCTTCATCTGTTCTTTCTCTGGCCCTTATTGTGTAACTTCAGTTTCTGTCACAATTGAAGCTCAGCTCAACTTGCCTTTGGTAGAGATGGACACAAGTTGCACACAGAATGACTCCAGAAATTTGAAATTTTTTTTTTTTGAGACAGAGTCTTGCTTTGTCATCCTGGCTAGAATGCAGTGGTGTCATCAGAGCTCATTGCAACCTCAAACTCCCAGGCTCGAGCGATCCTCCTGCCTTAGCCTCCCCAGTACCTGGGACTACAGACGTGTGCCATCATGCCGAGCTAATTTTTCTATTTTTTGTAGAGATGGGGTTTTGCTTTTGCTCACACTGGTCCTGAGCTCAAGCGATCCTCCCGCCTTGGCCTCCCAGAGTGCTAGGATTATAGGCGTGAGCCACCTCGCCCAGCCAAAATTTGAAATCTCTTTCTGCCCACCTCTCCCTGCAATTTCCAAACCGGATTATTTTCCCTTAGAATGAATGAAGGCAACTCCACGCTCCTTTCTCCACTCATTCCCTGTTCTTCAGAGGTCTCTTTCAGAGTTATCTTTAATTAGCAAGCTCCAATCTGACTGGCTTGGCCACACTGGAAGCTGCTGAGTTGTTAGGGGTTGAGTGAGGACTGAGGGAGGACACGGAGTGAGTGGACAAAGCTTCACATACTTGGAAACCTGGCTGGGTTTCAAGAGAGGGGGCTGTTGGTGTGGCCAAGCTCCAAATGTTGGCCCAAAGCCAGTGCTCAAAGAAAAGGGGCCCTCAAAACAGTCTAAATGGCTCCCTGTGGGAAGTGACCTCCCAGTCCTTCTCCCCAAGATGCAAAGATCCTCAGAGACCAGAGTGGTCAAGCCATTTCCCCACTGACTTCCCTCAATTACATTTATGTTCTTTCCCTCCCAGCCACTCCCACAGTTCAAGCTTTGGCTATAGCCAGAATTCAGAGGAAGGCAGGATTCCAGTGCTGGAGAGGTGGGTGGGGTGAGAAAGTCCTCATGTTGTGTATGTTAGGGAGGGAAAGCTGGACCCTGGGGACACATGCTCCAAGCCTCTGTTGCCAGATGATATGGAGGAAGAAGTTAACCCTGGAGTGTGTGTTCTGGAAGTGTTTGCATGTAAGCTGGAGACAACAGCTGGAAAAACTGTGATCTGGGGGAACTGAAAAATAGGGATCCCAGATGGAGGGGCAGAAGGTGTTAAAGGGGGAAGGGGCTGGAGAAAGCCTCAGTTTCCAGTCACAAGGACTAAAGTCTTTGCTGGCTTTAGGCATTTCTCAATTTTTAAAATTTTGGAAATTGCTTTGAAATAAATATAGTCTTAGAGGAGGTTGCAAAAATAGCACACAAAGTCCTGTGGATCCTTCACTCAGTTTTCTCCAGTGATGACATCTTGTATAACGGTACCACATCAAAACCAGGAAGCTGACATTGGTACAGTACTGTTAACTAGCCTACAGGCCTTATTCATTTCACCATTTTTTTTAAACATGCATTTATTTGTGTGTGTAGTCCTATGCAATCTTATCTTAGATATAGGTTTGGATAACCACTACAATAATCAAGCTATGATACACATCACTGTAAAGGAACTCCCTTGTGCTATTTCTTTATATTTGCGCCCATCCCCCTTTATCCTTGTCCCCTGGTAACCACTAATCTATTCTTCATCTCTATAATTTTGTCATTTTGAGAATGTTACATGAGTGCAATGATAAAGTATCAGCATTGGTTTTAAATTTTTAAAATATGTTTTCTTTTTTTCTTTTTCTAACTGTACTTTGAGTTGTTTTATGCACTGGTTTTTTAAAATTTTTTTTATATTTCTTTTTTCTTTTTTATATTTTTAATTTATATATTTTTTTTACCGGGAGCCATGCCCAAGAGGTCTTGAGCAGCCAAGAGGTCTCTATGCACTGGTTTTTAATTTAACTAATTCCTAAGCTATGACTTAAATACAAGAAATTCTCTGGCAGTAATTTATTTTAATGTTGAGTTTCCTCCATTCTCTGGATCCCTCTAGTTTCTAAATTTCCCTCCTCACCTACAATATTATTCTCCACTCCGACATTCTGGTCTCAGTTCTACTTTTGGGAAGATCTACATGTCTAAATTTACTAGGCTGGTCTAGAGCTCTTGTGTGTTCCCTGCCCTCCTTTGCCCCACTATTTATAGCCAGGCTAATTTTGGGTGGCCTCTCTCTCTCTTCTTTCCTACTCCTTCCTCCTGTGGTGGGTGAGGTGACTTCTCAAATATTTGGGCAGAGGAGGTCAGAAGCAGATTCTTGGCATCTGATTTCAGTCTCTGATCACAGAAGCTGGCAGAGTGGAGAGGGAGGCAGGCAGAAGCTGCAGGTGCAGAAAGGAAGACAGCTGTGGCTCTAAGGCATTTTGACCCAGGTTGAAGGCCTGGGCTGGGAGTCAGGATTTCTGATTCTATACTGATTTTGCTATTCTGCATTCTCATATCA